TCCGCCGGGACCCTAGTGGGCACATCTCAGCCCCTAGCATCTGCTGGTGCTTGGCATCTGGGTGACCCCAGGGTCTCCCTGTCTCCCTGCTGGGCTCCTGGCCTTGTGGCACTGTGGCTCTCAACCTGCACTGAGGACACAACAGGGCACATGGGGAACACTGATTTCCCCCCTCCCCCCTTCCTCATTCAGGGAGAGCCTAGGGTGATCGTGGATGGAGGACCGGGGCTGCCAGGCCAGAAAGGGGAGCCAGGCACACCGGTAGGTATGAGGTAGGCGATGCCAAGGGGTCTCTGCCAGCACCCCCAGCCTGTGCCGCAGCCCCACTAATGGAGCATCTCTGTCTTCCAGGGCAGCCCCGGCCCCTCCGGGAGCCCTGGCCCACGGGGACCCTTTGGTGATCCAGGCCCCCCGGGTCCACTTGGACCCGTAGGGCCACCAGGACCTCCAGGAGAGTTTGTGAAGGTACCTGCCCCCTGGTGCCACGCGGGGATGGCTGGGGGGATGTGTGGACAGACAGATGGTGGAACAGCCAGCAGCTTGAAGCTGCTCCCCCATGCACTCCTCCTGGTCCCAGTCATGGGCTGTGTCCCCCACCAGCTGTGCCCATGCACACATAAACGTGCAGGAGCTGTTGCTGGCACTGGGCAGTGTGGGGAGAGGCATGTGGCGTGCATGTGCCCTGATACCACTGATGATGGGCTCTGTCCAGCATGTTCCCTTTCTGTTGGAGGGGGACATGGGAAGAGCCCAGACCTGCCCTTACTTGCTCTTTTTTTGCCCTCGCAGGGGGAGAAGGGTGACCGAGGGGAAAGGGTGAGTAGCTTTGCATTTCCCCGGATCCTCTGCCCTTCTGCACAGAGGTCCCGTGGGTGCCTGAAGGCACTGCAGCCCCCCCCACCCCGGTGCTGGGAAGGACTGAGCCTCCCGGGACCATCACACAGGAGCTGACCCCTGTCTCTGCAGGGCCCCCCTGGACTTGTGGATGGGGCAGCGCCTCGAGGGGAGCCTGGC